TCCGACGGCGAGCCGTCGTAAGGGGTCCACTTGATCTCGCTGATGTGCTTCGGCTCCCGTTTCTTGATCCCTATAGTGGGAAGGGGCGAAGCGTCCTCGTACGGAGCCCATTTCGCGTTCGTGATCGTGATCTCGGGGGAAATCAACCTTCGAACGATCCTGTTCTCCAACCTGGTGATCTGTCGAGGATCCGGCTCCGGTGACATGCTCCTACGAATACTGTACTTGGGCCGTTCCTTCAAACTCTTGCTCTTGAAACCCTCGGTGGAGTCCTGACTCCTCCACTTGGAGTCCTTCTTCTCGACGGGCAACGAGAAGTGGGATTTCATGGCCCATTTCGAGCGAGCCTTCTTCCCCTCGTCGGGGCTGCTCACCTTCTCCTTCATCCCCCATTTCTTCGACGTCTGACTGTCGACCCTCGCGTGCGATCGTTCAAGCTTCGGTCTCTCCCTGACCCTCTCGGTCCTCACTAGCCTTGTGTCTTCGCTGGCGTGCTTCTTCAGTTCCGGTTTCTCGAGCGGCGCCGGCTCCACCGCCGGCTCCTCCTTGCGCTGCTCCACCGTCATCGACGCGGAGTAGTACAGTTTCCTCTCCGGCTCCTCCTTTTTTATCGTCGGCTTCTCCGGTTCCGGTGAAACCTTCTTCGGCTCCGCGGGCGGCGAGGGAGCCAGGATCTTGGACTTGGGACAGGTGCACCTAGGCTTCGGATTGGGCAACGCCTCCGGGACCTGAAGCCACCTCGCCTCCCTCGCCATTCTCGTGTCGTCGCTGCTGTGCTTCCTCAGATCGTGCATCGGCGTTTTCCAATAATCCGGCTTGATCGACCATTTGTCCGTCTCCGCGCTGTGATGTTTCCTGAGATCGCCTCGCTGGATCTCCTGCGACTTCTTGTCCTCCGGCGTCAGGCTGTGGCAGCTGCATCTCGTTCTCTTGGCCAGGTCGAGGTCCGTGCTGGACGTGTGCAGGGCCCATCGAAACTCGGTTCCCTCGCTGGTGCGCTTCTTCAGGTTCCAGATCTGCTCGTCGGGCGAGAGGAAGCTACCGTCGGCCCATCTCGAGTCGATGCTTCGATACTTGGGCAGATCTCGCGTGGCGGCCGACGCGTCGACCGTGTCGCAGCTGCACGTCCTCTGGGTGGTGGGCGTTCTCTGGGACTCGAGGGGCGCCGACTCGATCGCGTCCAGATCCTCGATGGCGAGCAAGATCTCCTCCCGCCGTTTCTGGCCGCAGGACGGACATCGGCCGCCAGCCTCCCCATCGTCGCGGCTAGGTCGATGATGATGATGATGATGATGATGATGGTGATGTTGCTGCTGATGTGGTTGTCGATGCAACGTCGAGGTCGAGGTCGATGCGGAGGGGTCAAGCTGCGGGGGCAGCTCCTCGTCGTCGCGACGGCCGTCGTCAGAGTGTCGTGACGTCGCAGCCGTGCCTGTCGATGCGCACCAGCAAGTGTGTGTAGCTCCGTCAAGCCGCCTTGGTGGGTACCGCGACTCCGGAGACGACGAGGCTCCGCTCGAGGCCGGTACCAGGCAGACTGCCTCGATCCCCAGCACCGCAGGCCTGTTTCACGGTTTTCTTTCTCAGTTATTTGCCCCATTTTATAATCTACGTCTAGATTTAAAGTCGAGGACGATTGATACCTTGTACGAATTGAATGAAAACGATGTAGCGAGGTCGTAAAATCGATCAGGCGATACGTAATGATTTGACGACGTACGATAATTCGATGGATCTCGTGAGTTTTAGTTTCACATTTATGAAAGATGGAATCTTCTTCTGTTTAATTCGTTCTTTCAGACATCGAAATTGGCGCGTATAAGGTCTGAATAATCGGGTTGGGTCGATCGATAATTTAATTCCGTTTTAATTGTATCGTTTCACGACCTCATTGTATCGTTTCCAAGAAATATAATTGACAATTCGGTGAAATTTAATAAGATTGGATCACAGCGAATGGAATACGAACCTTCAGTTCAGTGAAGACCTCCGTGAAGAATCCGGGTTCGCTGTTGATTCGCAGCATCTCGGAGCTTAACCGGTTGACAATCAACAAGCACCTATCCCAGAACTTGTCTTTGCTGTCCTCGATGAGGAACGGTTTCAAGGGATAGCTGATCTCATTCCCCATGTAGCTGTAGCTCAAGTAGAGGCACGTTAAAACCGTTGCTTGAAGCTCCCTTTCGGAAGCCTCGTCTCCGTCGACCAACTCTCTCACCAGCATATAAATGAACACAACGTTGGCGGGATTGATGAACGCGACATCCTGTTGGAAAACGTTACACGTTAGTTTCTCATATTATATAACGTGAGACAATCTTAATTATTAATGGATCGAGCAAAAATTTTCAAGAAATCGCTTGACAAAATATTCATTAGTTAAATTTCACTGTAAATAATGATACTACTATTTATCGTTTCTAAAACAGATGATACTAGACAAAATTCTTTTCCTCAAAAGTTAAAAAAACAACAACGAACAAGATTTCTCTAATAATTGGAAATAATCGAGACAGTGCACTCCGCATTCCTAGTTCTACCATTTTTGAAACGACACCATCGATGAAAATTCTTTCTGTCAAAGTAAAAGAATCTATCAGAGTTCTAACGCAACGATGCTAAAGAGTTGTGCGAAAGTCTCGATTGGAATAGAATCGAATTCCTCCTTCGTATGGAGGACGCCTAGACAGACATTCGATGCGCCTGTATTGTACTTGCGCTCATTCAGGTGAGGTGCTTCTTCTTGGTTTGGCAAGCGCGCAGACGATACTCGTTGACAATCGACCGGCAGAAAGGGATGATTCACGAGCAGCGTCACATTACGTGCCACGGTTGCGAAATTGCAATCGGCATTGTAGCACTCGATGTCAGTCGCCGCTCGATACCTCGATTGCGACAGGTCTTCTTTTCATCGCGCTCCCTCCAAAGGGAAACGATATTTCGCGCTCTCGAGTTCTTCCGCCGCAATCTCGAACAACGCTTATCTTCTTCTCGAGAAGACTCTTTGAGTAGCTTGCTGCTTTTATCAGTGTTTTTCGTCTATTTTCGAAATTACAGGATGATTCGTTTCGTGTGATGATTTTAAACATGTATATCATCTTCCTTAGATATCATAAAACGTAAAAATAATTTCTTTCGGAATAATCATGTAAATTTTGTCGAATCAATATTTTAAAATAACGACGAGTTATTATTATCTGATTTTTAATCTGATTTCTCTGAGTCAATGAGAAATATTGCACAATCTATAGCAATACATTCTTCTCCCAAGACAGAACAGCGTAAACGGAGATGTTAATATCACGACCTGGACACGTCTATTTCCATTCACGTGTTAAATATTAACGACCACACGGCCATGAAGTTGTCTAATTTCGTCAGCTGTCCTTTATCAAAGTCGTTTTCATTGCTCCAGAAACGAAGTCCTCCGAATCATTAGCGAATTAGAACGTGGCGTGGGCCGTGCAAAGTACATCGTCTCCTTAAGTGCTCTCAGATCAATTGCGGTTCCATTGATTCTAATGCATTCTCAAAGGTGTCCATAATCGTGTGGCCGTGTTCACTCGCCTCGCTCATTTTCTTATTCGTAAAAATGATAAAATTGAAAGCGATACGAGATCAGGAGATAAAATAAAACCGTCGAAAATACAACACTTTGACTGCTCGCAAAAGTATCGAGCCATTTTGCTTCGTATCAGACGCTATGATAAAAAAATATCTTCTTCGATATCGAAGCTTACGAAAAACAACAAAAGTTTATTAATTTCGATAAACGATAATACAAAAATCGTGCAGGAATTTTGACTCTTTGGACTCGCAGTGAACAGAAAGATCAAACGATTCCTGTCCTTTGACGCTTAAATGAATAGAAAAAGATTTGAAATTTGATCTCATCATTTCTATCATTTCTTTTGTATCAAAGTATTGAGTATTTCAAATCATTTATCTAAGCCGTATGTAATAAAATCGTGAGAAACTATCGAGAGCATTGATCCTGCCAGGTCATCTCGGTGCATCCATATGTGCAAGAAACTCTGTGTGCACCCTCGCCGATCGGAAGAACTGCCACGCCTATGATCACCAGCGTACGTTTTAATTATCACAAAGCATTCGTTGTAATTGGACGATAACTCGAGGAAAGGGACGAGAGAGAGAGAGAGAGATTGCTCGAAGGGTCAAAGACTCGTTCCGCTTTGAATATAAAATCGAGAGAGTATGTGCGCATGGATAGATAGATCAAAAGAATAGAAGGAAGTAGTTATTAATGATGAAAAAAGGGTACGTGATTCTTTCTTTAAATCTTTTAACGCTGTTACGGATTATGACAATGCCTTGGGAAATTCTTATATATACATATACAAGAATATATACAAGAATTTCTTATATATACATATCTCCTTGTGCATCGAGTTTGCTTATGGACTTGTAATGTTGACGTACACGCAAAGGATTAACTAAGTAAAGCTCAACATCTCGATGTACAGTATCATCTTATAGTCTGCTATAAGAATGTATTAATAAAATAAATTTACAAGTTATAATTTTGTATTAAATACGTACGGATCTATTACGAATATTGTTAAATCAGAAGAGGATTCCTTGTTTCAAAATTAAGTCGAAGATGTAAAATTTCACAGAGGCTTCTTTTCTGCTTAAGAGAAAAATCGATCGCATATTATGGATACAACTCTCTCTCTCTCCCTTTGACAATCCATTTCATTGTCAATTTTCTCGAAAACGAAGCCTTATATATATATATATATAGAAACTCTATGCATAATCTACATTTTATATTCTCGAGTTACTTTTCTACAACTGTAGAAATCCGCAGAATGTTGCAATTTTTACGAAGAAAACGTCGAAGCTTCGAGTGTCTTCGTTAGATCGCTGGAAGAGAGATCCGAACCGGAAGTCGGATCGCAATAAAAATGGTCCCGGAAATGTGTGCCGAAGAACGACAGACAGTTAACGACGAGTCTTTGAAGTCTTCCTTAACGTTAACGATATTGCTCGTGACAAAGGGAGAGAAGAGAGTAGATGGAAAGAAAAGATGGGAAGAGTTACCCGTTAAGAGAAAGTAGCCCCCGTGAAAGGAAGGAAAAAGAGAGCGAGCGGTCGATATTTGAAGAGCGAGAAAGGAGGAAGGGAAACTGTGCAAACTTCAAAAAGGAAAGAAAAAAAAAAAAAAGGGGGTCTCGCGGGAGCTAAGTTACAAAACATCGAGCTTACGACTATTATTAGCCCGACTATTTCCGTTTTTCAGGACAGATAATAGCTTTTGATATTAATTGGTCGTTGTGTGTATCGAGCATGGAGGGAGGAGAGAGAGAGAGAGAGATAGAGAGAGAGAGTACGACAATCGTGTATGGCAAAGGAGGAGCAATTTATTTTTAAAATAAATACCTCTCCCGTGTACTCGATACGCTGTACCACACGTTTACAACGTTTCCACGTGTCTTGATCACAGAGGAGTACACCTGCTTGGTTGTAACATGGCCAAAGCGTTGGAGGAGGGTGGAAAAACGGCGACACGGAGCACGAGTATGAACAAAGTAGATATATTGGTCCTGGTCGATATTTGCCAGGGGTGAGCGGCCTGCATCCCTACTAGAACCCTCTGTAACCGCTTTTCATTTTTCACCAGCTTATTAAAATCCAACTGATTCTGATTGAATTTTGTACAGATTCTGTACATAATACGACGAGGAATCTTTAATTTGAATTGTCGTCGAGGTGTGCAGGCTTTTGCATGTAATCAACGAGAGGAAATCACCGTCCGTCAGCAGACGAAAGTGTCTCTTTGATGTTGTGTGGTATTCTGAGGGATCATTCTCTTACGTCTGATTGAATTTGATGCGGTTATGCTTTTGACGGTTATTTATAGAGAATGTTAATAATGATTCGTTAGATACTTTTTCTCTCTTCTTCTTAAAATATCATTTTAAAATAGTGCTTAACAATTCCTTGAATTGCAAGTTCTTTTTATAATAGTTTTATCGTGGTGTATCTCATCGAAAAAATAAATCTACATTCTACAGAATCTGTATTGTAGATTTGTTGTTTTATGAGAATCAGTGTTAGTCAAAAACAAAAGATTAATTATGCATAAAGGAAAAAATTATTTAAAACGATGTCTTAGTTATAGGTAAAGAGGGAAACTTTTCACTCGTTTGTCAAATATAATTATAATAACGTGTATATTAAAATAAAAAGATCGTGATAAGCGATTATCCATTCAAGAATCGAAATCGTTTTATTCGGCTTCTTATTGACGAAAACGAGATAACGTTCTCTTTCCTCTTCTTTGTCGTCATATTGGCCGCATTGCGAGTATAGAAAACGATTCCATCGGTATATGGTTTCCCTTTAACGAGATTCTCCGCAATGACGTTCAACCTTCTTCTATTTACCGTCTAGACAAAATGGATTAAATGGTTCTTACTTAAATGGTCTACGTGTTGCTCGTGCCTCTGCGTTTCACGATCGTCAAACCCGTTCCCGAGTCACGTGCTTTTGCGCCAACGAGTAAACTTGTCAGAGAAAAGTGGATTGATATTAGATCGATCTCGCTGGATCGAGATTGGAATTCTTCGTTGTAAACTTACTGGAAGACTTGAAGAGTGATATCTAGCGGATTGATGAAAATTTAACAATGTTTCCGTTGGAGAAATACTGGAATGGCGTTACAGAAAATAGAATAGACTTGATTATTTAATCTAATTCGTAGAATATTCCAATTATAATTTTGAAAAGCTCGCGCAATCAATTAGAATTACTTTATGTAATTTTATTAAAAAAGACACGTTTAGTTCATCTATCGAGGATTTATTTTTAGCAAATTGTTGAATCGAAATATGATCGTAATTTGTTTCCTTTTTCTTTTTCTTTTTCTATTCTTTTATCTTTCTGTTTTCGTGGAAATATTGAATATTTACTATAAAATGCAACGAGTGCGCGAAATCTGTCGACGCCCTCGATATGCAGCGTGTTTCTAGAACAGGCTGCATGTGTCACCCTTGACTGATTAGATTTGAGCACGTGTACGATCGATTTGCGGTTCTACGTCGACAAGTAGAAACCTCGGAGCGAAGGGAGCGTGATTTCTTGTCGTTTCGTTTCTTCGTTATATGTACGAAAAATATGAAACACCAAAAATAGCGAAATAAATATTTTTACTCTTACTTAAAAATTACATATTCGTGACTTGTAATTTTAGACAAGATTGTTAGATAGAAAATCATTGTACGAAATTTATTTTCAAATATT